CAAGTCCTGTGGCTGAGGCTCCCTCGGAGGAAGAACAAGTCCCTCCAGCTCCACTTTCCCCCGTCGTCCATCCTCCAGCAACATCTGCGGTGGGTATCCTTGCTAGACCACAGCCAGGCATGCCCTTGCATGCAGAACTAATGTGGGGACAGGATAGTCAGATGATCACAGACCAACAGTCCCTGGTAAACTCAAAGTTGGCATTGACACCAGAATGACAGACAGATGGAGAAGTAATGAGCCTCCATGAGGAGGTCAGTATTGACAGAGCACAGAGGGTTTGAGATCATCTCAGGGAGTCCACACAAGGCTTTTTTTTTTTTTTTTTTTTTTTTCTGAAACAGGGTTTCTCTGTGTAGCTTTGTAGACCAGGCTGGCCTTGAACTCAACAGAGATCCACCTGCCTCTGCCTCCCCCATGCTGAGAATCATAGCTGTGTGCCACCACTGCCCAGCCCACACAAGGCTTTCTTAATGGGATCTGTAGAGATGAGCTGACTCCTTGGGCAGACTTCTGGTTCAACATTGCAGCTATCACTGTCTCCCACTAATCTTCCTAGGAGTAGCCAGCAGCCCCACCTGGCCATTAGACCCTCAGAGGGCAGTCACCACCGTTGCTCCTGGGGAACTCCTGCCCTAGGTCCCTGCCACCCCTCCCCACAGCTGTGTCTTGGGTATGTCAACTGACACGAAAATGCTTCCTTCCCTGCAGAGCAAACGGACCAACCTGAAAAAGCCTAACTCGGAACGGACAGGGCATGGGCTGAGAGTGCGCTTCAATCCCCTGGCACTGCTTCTTGATGCGTCCCTGGAAGGCGAGTTTGATCTGGTGCAGAGGATCATCTATGAGGTGAGCCACGCTCCCACACATGCTGCTGGTGGTTTGAAGGGCTAGTTGTCATGTACTCTGTGTCCTAGGTGGAAGACCCTAGCAAACCCAACGACGAAGGGATCACCCCTCTGCACAATGCTGTCTGTGCTGGCCACCATCACATCGTGAAGTTTCTGCTGGACTTTGGTGTCAATGTAAACGCTGCTGACAGTGACGGATGGTGAGAACCCATGGTGGGTGGGGACTGGGAGGGCTCAGCTCGCTTTCCCCTATCTTACAAAAAGAAATGATACAGGTTTGAAAAAAGTGAGCCAGGAGGTGGTGGCACACATCTCTTATCCCAGCACTCTGAATCGATCTGAGTTCAAGGCCGGCCTGGTCTAGAATGAGTTTCAGGACAGCTAGGGGTACACAGAGAAACCCTGTCTCAAAAGACAAACAGAAAACAAGTAGAAACTTGGGACTCCAGAGACAGGCGGATCTCTGTGAGTTTGAGAACAGCCTGGTCTTCAGAGCGAGTGCCAGGATAGGCTCCAAAGCTACAGAGAGACCTTGTCTCGAAAAACCAAAAAAAAAAAAAAAGAAAGAAAGAAAGAAAGAAAGAAAGAAACTTGGGACTCCAGAGATGGAGTCATTGGATGCTCTTCCAAAGGACTCAGGCTTACTTCCCACACCTGCATGACAGCTCATAACCATCTGTACTCCAGTCCCAGGAGATCAGCTGACACCCTTGTCTGGCCTTTGCATGCAGGCAGAACACCCACACACATAAGATTAACAAACAAAATACCTAGACACTTGCCTGGCACACAGGTATGGTACCTTCATCAAAATTCTTGGAGGTTTGTGTCACACAGGGGCCAGGAAGCCCTGGGTGGTGCAGACTACACATTTCCCCCTCTGGTTTTAGGACACCGCTGCATTGTGCTGCCTCTTGCAACAGTGTCCACCTCTGCAAGCAACTGGTGGAAAGTGGGGCCGCTATCTTTGCCTCCACCATCAGTGACATTGAGACTGCTGCAGACAAGTGTGAAGAGATGGAAGAGGGTTACATCCAGTGCTCTCAGTTTCTGTATGGTATGTGGGAGCTTGTGGGCCTCAGTGAGCAGATATCTCATGCTTAAGTGCTCACTGCCTTTACACTCACCCCCAAACATCTGAAAACTCCATTTGTATCTGGCTGGGTAGTACACACCTACAATCCTAGCACTTGGAAAGCTTTACAGACCACAAGCCTGACCTATATAGTGAGACTCTGCCTTAAACAAAAGTCACATTAGGAGGATTCTGTTCTGATTGCTGAAGAGTAAGAACACCCTGGATTCAGGGGAACAGTGAGTACAGTGGTCCACACCTTTAATGCCAGCACTCAGGAGGCAGAGGCAGGTGGGTCTCTGCGTTCAAGGCCAGCCTGGTCTACAGAGTGACAGCCAGGGCCACACAGAGAAACCCTTTTTTTTTTGGGGGGGGGTGCCCTGGGGTCCCAGGAGTGGGGGCTGTGTCTAGCCACTGGTCTGTGACTGCACTGGTCTACACACTTGCTGCTGGGTCCATGCTTTTAAGCAGGGCTGCTCCACTTGTGTGCCAGCTTGGGGCCTTCTACACACCTCAAGCATCTAGCAGTGAAAGGCACGTCCTAACTAAGTTGCTGTATCCAGTGTCAGAAGTCTATGAGCTCAACCAATCCTCCATTAAGCAGGTACAAGTCACTGGTTCCACATAGAACTCTGAGAAGTTACTGTGTGTGGCCTGGTGGTACAAGCGATAACAGCCAAACTACAGTTGCTACTGAACTCCCACAACAAAGGCAGCCAACAAATGTCTTGGGCATTAATGAAGCTGGGAAGGCCCAACGGCCCTGGCAAACCCATCCCATGTGAGGAAGAGGCTGCCATCACATAGGCTCCTGCTAAGAGAAAAAGGTTTCTCAGCAATGACAGCACAGGCCTGAAAACAGACCCTGTGTGATGTTCTGCTTACAACACCCAAGGTGGAAGCCACCATGTGCACGCATCGGGTTTGTTGTTGCTCGACATAGGCACTTTTACCTCTGTCACCACCCTCTGCTAACGCTGACATCTTTTTTTTGGTCCCAGGGGTCCAGGAGAAGCTGGGAGTGATGAACAAAGGCACTGTGTATGCTCTGTGGGACTACGAGGCCCAGAACAGTGATGAGCTGTCCTTCCATGAAGGGGACGCCATCACCATCCTGAGGCGCAAAGATGAAAATGAGACTGAGTGGTGGTGGGCTCGTCTTGGGGACCGGGAGGGCTATGTGCCCAAAAACTTGCTGGGGGTAAGCACTCGGCATACTCAGTGCTTAGACACTGGAAGTCAGCTGGCCTTGTGCCTGTACAAAAGTCACAGACTTTCAGGGCATAGGTTCCGTTCTGCTGGCAGCATAGAACAAAGCGCTGTTGTCCAAGCCCCCAGTCCCTGGAGTCTGGCTTTCCCACATGGCAGAGCATACGGAGGCTAGAGACCAAGACCATCAGGGCCACCTGGAGTTCTCCAGAGCTGGGTGTAGTAGCGCACACTGTAACCTAGTGCTTGGTTGTTTTTGAATTTGCTGTTTTTTTCATAACCCCTTCCTTCTCCTGAGCTGATGCCTGAACCCAGGGCCCGAGCAAGCACTCTTGCTGAGCTAAATCCCCAGCCTCTGTAATCCTAGCATTTGGAAGGCTGAGGGTAGGAGGGTTCAAAAGTTAGGTGCCAGCCTGTAAAGTCAGCTGTGTGGGTTGTCAGCCAGGCTGCATCCATAATGGTGTCTGTCCTTTAACAGAAAGGCTGCCTCTGCTCTCAAGTGCTGTCATAAGCCTGGCAGATGCTTCTTGTTCACTTGGCAAACCTTCCCAGCTGCCAAGGCATGAACCAAGCACAGGTGCTTACATTGTCACAGATTTTCAGGTATAATAAAAAGAGGGCCAGGATCCTCAGGGTCTCGGTGGAGGGACAGCTGAGGTTAGGCCTGAGCAAGCACATTTTGCAGAGAATGCTGAGGTGACAGGAGAGGAATATAGAGGCCAATTCCTTCTCAGTCACCTTTTTGCCCTAACTCTTGTCTGTTGCTTCTCAGTTGTATCCACGGATCAAGCCCCGGCAGCGCACACTTGCCTGAACTTCCCCTGGAGTACCAGTCTCATTAGCTCCCAGGAGCTACTAGAGAGGGTTCCAGCTGCCCTGGAGGAACAGAAGCTAGGACGGCCTCACGGTGCTCACTTTAGCAGACGGACAGTATCCACAATGTGAATCCCAGCTTCCCAGCGCAGTAACTGTGACAGGTAGTGCTCTGGCCTTCAGAGGACTGCATTTTTTGCCAATTACTGTAAATCCAAGTAAATACCCAGCTTCCAAAACACCCACCCCTGTTGCCAGTAAGAAGTCCTGAAACTATGAACCTTGCCGGTTGCCAGTGAAGACAAAGCTCTGACTGACTCGGCCCAAAGGCCCCTTCTCATGTGTGACGTCTCTGCTCTTCAGCAGAAGCAAGCTGCTATCAGGTGGCATTGGCTACAGCCCTGCCCTCCTTGGAAAGTCTGAAAACATCACTCTTTCTCACATTCCTGCCCACAAAATTTTCTGTTACATTAACCTGATGACGACATGCTGCGGTGGGACTTGCAGGCCTTGGCACATGGGTCATCTTTAGCCCCTTTGTGGCAGGGAGTTCGTTCTGTTCCGAGTGCAGCTAATCACAGGAGTCTGGGCACTGCCCAGGGCAGGATAGTCAGCAGGCAAACTGGGATGCAGTCACTGCAGCTGCATTCCAAGTGATGCAAGCTCTCTGCTCTGGGGCTTCAACCCTGTAGACAGGCTTTTTATACACCAACATTATTTTTCAACTAGGCCATTGAAAACTACCAGAATTGTATTGGAAACATTTCTTCCTCATTGAAACACAAGCCCCAGGCTTTATTTTTCATGTGTCTTGTGCATAACTGCGTGTAAATCCGTGTGTAGGCTCTGGGAGCAGTGCTGTAGTCAGCTGCCAAGTAGTGACTGTGCAGGGCGGCGCCGAGAAGTGATGCCCTCCCTGTGTGCAGCCTCTGCCATCCCAACACCACTGACGCTGTGTGACGTGCACAATAAACTGCTGTCTCACACCTGGCTGTGAGTCTTGTGTTCTGGATGCAGGACAGACGCACAAAGTGAGGCTGGAGCCTGCTGTGTACTTTCAAAATAAGTTTTAATCATATACTTTATATACAAATTACTGTACAGTCATTTAATAAAGTGAAAAGTAGAAAACACAAGGCTGATGCCTTCCCCTTAGTGACATAGAAAAGGATTGTTCATTGCCCCAAGTTAGCGACAAAATAGACGGAGAGTCATGAACAGGCTAAGGCATTGTAAACCGGCTATTGGAGATAGGCAGAGACCAATGCTAAACTAGAGGCCTGAGTGACCACCACCTGATTTGTTTCTGTGGGAACGGAGCCAAAAGTTTAATAAACCTGGGGATTTATAAACATGGTATATAGGTTATACTCAAACTGGTTTAGTACTGTAGTGCAGCCTCTCCCAACCCTAGTAAGTACCAACAATACAACACAAGTTCTCTAAAGCGTTAATCAGCTGTGTGCATATTGCACTAGGTAAGTGAGCACACACAGAGCAGAGCCCTGAGTGCCTCATCAGGCAGGGGCAAGCAGCTTGGACTCGGTAACCTGATGTGCTGAGCTCAGCTCCCTCGCAGTCACTGGTCTCGTGATTCATAGAGGAGCTTGGTTGCCTGCACAACACCATAAAAGCATGCTTGGTTCTGGGCCTGACCACACGTGAGTCACTAGGGGCACCTCAGCCTCCCCAACCCTGCCCATGGTACCTTGTGCATGGCTGCCAGCCACGCTGCTGCCTGTCTCTTGCTGCCATTTGCATCCTCTCCAGCCATCAGCCGCAGCTGTGTTGCAGCCTCTGCCCCTGGCACTGTGTACTGCAGGAACATGCCTGTGGCTCGAGTGCTGCCTGCTGGAGGAGGGAGACGAGGTGTCACATAGGACCATAATGCCCCATGTGCTGCTCAGGAAGCAGCCTTGCTGGAAACACACAGTGGTAAATGATACCCGAACCTGCTCTTGCAGAGACCCCATGTGCACAGAGAACGGGACCCCAGGACCAGGAGAAACTAAAGGCACCATATCATAAGCTTTTCATAGTCCCGTTCTCCAACAGTCTGGAAGCAGCCACGCCTTCTATATCCATGGCATTCTCCTCCCAACCTTCAGAGAAACCACGTGCATGCGTGTGTTCATTCCCATGTTCTCTCTCTCTCTCTCTCACACACACACACACACACACACACACAGACAGAGAGAGAGAGAGAGAGAGAGACACCCATCTACAGCCAGAGTAGAACAGTAAAGTACAGAAACTACTTTAGGAATGGCCTGGCCATCAGAAGATACGCCAAGCAGACAGTTACACCTGCCATGGCTTCACACTTAGGTTGGAGGGCACAGCTGAGTATACTGTTAACGCAGGAGCACAGACAGACTACCCTGTCAAGTGCTGTTCTTCCACAACTCACAGGATCCCCTGGAGAACACTGGGGGGTTCCATCTCTGGGCTATGACCAACTGCTCCAAGCATGATTTGAATTTAGGCTCTGTCCTAGGAACAAGCCTCTTAAGACAGATGAGTCCTGTCAGGCATGGTTACTAGACTTCTTTCTCGTGGTGACTAGGAGGAGAAAACACTGCGAAATGACCCACCTCTAATCAGACATTAATTCTAAGTCAGAGCAGCCTGAGCCCCGTGGGCATACAGTCCATAACCAAGAAGAAGCCTGACATCCTTGCCTCCAGTAGCTCTGGCCCAGCCAGAGGCTTTCTGCCTGACCCAAGCTGTTGCAGAACTTCCTAACCAGGCTATGTCTACCATCAGCTTTGTTTGGTTTTTCGAGACAGGGTTTCTCTATGGCTTTGGAGGCTGTCCTGGAACTAGCTCTTGTAGACCAGGCTGGTCTTGAACTCTCAGAGATCCACCTGCCTCTGCCTCCCGAGTGTTGGGATTAAAGGCATGCACCACCAACGCCCGGCTCAGGAACAAGCTTTTGTCCACAAAAATGTACTGCAATGTGGCCATGGTCACCGTTTTGTGCTTTGCATGGCCATCAAAATTTTTCTCCCCATGGGGGCTGGAGAGATGGCTTAACAGTTAAGAACACTTACTGCTCTTGCAGAAGACCTAGGTTCAGTTCCCAGCACCTAAAAATAGTGGCTCCAACTATTTGTAACTAGGGGTCCAACACATTGCCCTGCTCTGTAAAGGCACTGGGCATGTGCATGGGACATAGACATGCAGACATTCATGACCTTTGGACTGCCTGACCCTGCCCTTCGCACTAGGATATCTTCAACCAGCTTAATGCTCCATGCACTTCCTTGTATCCCATTAGCTGGGCCCCTCTCACCACTGCCTTCAGTAGACTGAGATGGAGGAACTGAGGGCCAGGGATCCCTGGAGGCAAGCTACTGGGTACAGCGATGAAAACTGCGGGCTGGCTTGTCAACTCTTTGGTAACTTCTCCTGGGAAAGGACTGGGCAAACTACTTTATGCTGTCAGGACACACTCACTCACACTTTATAGGTTCACATATTGGACCTAACACCTACTAATCAAAAGAGAGAAACCCAACTTTCAGAATCCACCCCAAGGGACAGAAGCAAAGTGGCCAAAGGAGGAGCCACAGCATGCTGGGAGGAGTGACCCAAGGAGGACGGAGGCTGACCTTCAGAGGCAAGCAGGCTCCCCAGGAGGCTGGTGTAAGTGTGAATGTCTTTTTCTACTTGAAGAAGGTAGGCAGCAGTGCAAAGAAGAAACAACCGAGAGTCAGTCAGAAAATGGAAAGCGAGCTGTGTTAAGTCATAAGTCAAATCTGCAGGTTCAGAATGCGATGAGCAGTCCAGTCAGTGGGGGCCAGCTAAGACTGAAGCTCACCAAGGACCATGGTGCACAGATGTCTGCAGGAGAGGCAATGACAGCAGTCCTGCAAGCAGGCTCCAGGTCAGCCCCCTGCATTTGGAGCCCATGGACAGTACATGAGATGATCGATGACCCCAGTGACAGGATACCATGGGCACATCAGGCCAATCTCCCTCGTTATCCCCTCTCCCCTCTGCATGAGTTCTAAAGTTACTGACTTAATACAAGCCCCAGTGAGGAGCATGGCAGGCCATCTTGGGACCAAGTGCAGTTCCTCCTGTTGCCCATATAGGTACTAGAGAGCCTCCTGCTCAGGAAAGGCATATACCTCCAGGAGTGAAGCCTTCTGTGAGAATCTGCACAGTACAGACATGCGCAATCTCAATTTCATGATGGCTGTCCCCGTCCAGAATCAAGCATCTACAACAAACAAGAGGGACAGTCATGAGACTGAGGCCTGAAGCCTGTGAAAACACTGCCCAGTACCAGCAGGACTTCACCTCTTACCTCTGGTTGTTGGAGAGACGACAAACCATGGTTTCAGGCTTCTCTGAGTCCCCAAAAGTAACAAGGAAGGTAGCTCCTTGGAAGACAAAACCAAACAGCTCACACAGGACCTACTGCTCCATCTCCCCGCCCCCACACCATATGCTCAGGACAAAAAAGCCTTCTTCCTCCATTACCAGATGGGAAAGCAAAGGCTGACACAAATACCAGCCTTGTGTAAAGTGTAAAGGATCCCTTCAGTTAGGCAAAAAGGCAATAATGAATTAAGGGTCTCAAAAGCTAAAAAGACACTGCTTGGGGCTAGAGAGATGGCTCCAGGTAAAAACACTGATGTTCTCTCAGAGAACCAGATTCAATTCCCAGCGCACACATGGTGGCTCAGAACTGCCTGTAACTCCAGTTCCAGGTGAGCGGCTCACTCTTCTGATCTCTGCAGGCATGAGGCAGACACATGGTGCACAGACATCTTGTAGAAAAAATACCCATCCACATAAAACAGAGACAAAGGCACTGCCATGCACACAAAGCTGTAAATTTTGTTACAGCCTTCAAAGATGGCAAGTAGGGGAGTTCATCATCAAGGCCCAGTCAGATAACTCTGGAGCAGACTGGGCAAGACCACTCAGCAGAGCGGAGGCTGGCCCTTGCCTGTGGAGTGCACACAGGCCAGACCGGCGGCTCGGAGGCTATGCTGTTTGGCAGAGCTGTGGGAAGCAGGCCCCACCCCAAAAGAACTCCCTTCTCCCTCATGCTCCTGGGATGCTCCTCAGAACCTGCACCTGTTACAGTTTGTCTGCAGGCCTCTGAGGGCCACAGCCACACAGGCTTGACTATCAGTGACAGCCTGCCATCTGGGGAAGGTGCTGCTGAGCTAGGCTCCCTGGCCATCTGGTGGGTGGTAGCACCCAGTCAGTCAGGCGGACATCTTAGCACATTTTTGTCTCTGAAGTCCATCTCTAAGTAGGTCCAAAACAAAGTAGAGGATGAGGGCAAGACACCATCTTGGAGCAGACCCATTTTAAGCATGGTTGAGTGGACATGCTGTCACTTACCACTCAGGAGCACCTTGAGCTGCTTGTCGTAAAACTCAGCCTCGCGGTGAGACACCAGGGCACACTCGGCACACTGGCGCACTGGGTCCACAAAGCACATGCGCCGAAGTGGCACCTTCTGGCTGCAGCACCTGTCACAGAAGCACTTCCCACAGCGGCGGCAGTGGTGCTGAGGAGGGTGGAGGTTGGGCAGTGAGCACAGTCAACACAGAAGCACCAGGCCTGCCCTGCCCCGCTCGCCACAACTGTCAGGACCCCCGAATGCATCTGTAGCTGTGTGTGTCACCTCCACACACACCCAGTGTGAACACAGTGGAGCTCTGGCCTCACTTGGGAAAAATGGTCCAAAAGGGCCTCCTCGACCTGTGTGTGTGTTGCTAGGGTTTGAACCCAGGGTCTTGTACATTTGAGGTGAGCCATTCACTCATTCAGCTACAACCCAAGCCCATAACTGCCCAGCTCATGCTGCATCTGAGCCTCCTCTGGAGCTCCATACTGACTGCTGGGGAGCTACGCCAGTAACTGAAATAAGAGTATCAAAATGGCCTGCCTGTAAGATCTGCTCCTCTGGGGAACTGGGCTTTCCCCAGAAAGAACTGTGTCCTACTGGGCCCTGTCCTACAAATACACACATACACCACCACCACAGCCTCAGCTCACCTTTCTGGTGATAAAGTCAAATTTGGCATCACACTGCATACATCTTGGACACTAGAAGAGAACATGGCACAGTATTATAACCCAGCTCGTTGGCAAACTGTTGAAGCAGAGCCAACAGGTGCTGGGAAAGGCTGCTAAGAAAGCCAACTTCCCGCAGTGAAAGCAGCCTGCAGGGGCAGACTATGGAGCAGCAAGGCAGGACAGCCCCAGCTCAGTATCCAGCTCAGAAGCCAGACAGGACTGGTCAGACCACGCCCAAGGCTCTGGGTTAGGAGAGTAGCTTTAAGGCTGCAGGCCCCCGCCTGAATGCCCAATAGCCAGTATTTAACGGGCGCAAAGGCATACAGTTTGACGTTTTTGCAGGAGTTCCGATTCAGAAGGGCTTGATTCCTGCAGACTCCAGGTGCAGGGGCAGCTCATTCTAGCTGCTTCACCCGACTCCTGTTACAGGAGCCCAAGTTGAGTGCTGTGAAATGAACATGACATTCCACAGCAGTCAGTGACCTCCACTGGGGAAAGGATGTGTCCACCCTGATGTACAAAGGAAAGTATGGGGATCTTAGGAAGGGGGACTCTGGACAGCTGGGATACAAGGCTGACTGAGAGCATACCTGATGGGCCTGTGAAGAAGCTAGAGCAGAACATAGGATGAAAGGTGACAAAGAGGCTTACGCACAGGAGAAGAAGGTTCTGAGACGGGACTGTCGGGAAAATGGTGTCCTGTGCACATGGGATTTGCACATACAGAGGCGGGAGAACGGTACAGACTAGGATGTCGTGAAAGGTACGGGGATAGTGGTGGCTGCACAGTGCACCTCCACAGGGAAGAGGGCCGAGTGCTCTCACAGATTCAGAAGCAAATAGGGTACGCCAACCCAACGAGTCTGCATCACACTTGGTTTCTCCCACTCTATAAACCCTCTTTAGGGGCTATTTCATAGCAAGACCCCAAACAAAAGTGTCCTCTCCAGATGACCCAGTGCCATCAAACCCAGGGGACACCAATGTCTTCAGATACTCTGGGGACCTCGATTCTGTGGCCACTAGCTGGTTATTTCAAGGGTCAGCACAACTTTAGGAAGTACATTCTCTTCAAAACCTCATAGCTCTGCCAGAGCCTGTGACAGGACACAGCCCGAGCTGCTCACTCCACACTAGAAGGCTGGATCACACAGCAGGCAAGGACAAATAATGCTAACTGTGCACATGGAGTTCACAAGCCCAAGACACAGGGTGAATAAGTCAGAAAGGCTGGTGGTGCTGGTGGGAGGCCTGCTCCAACCACACACAAGAACAGAAATGAGCTAATGCCTGTCCCTGGACAGCAGACCAACCAGGGGAGAACACTCATGCCCAGCCGAGCCCGCTCTGCAAACTGTCTGCTCAGTCAGTATTGGAAACACTCATGTTGGGAGCTGAAGAGATGGCTCAGCAGTTAGGAGCTCCAGCTGTTCTTCCAGAAGACCTGAGTTTAGTTCCTAACACTGAAACCAGACGGCTCACAACTGCGGATAATCCCAGCTCCAGGGAAATGGATCCCCTCTTCTGGCCTGTGGACACCTGCACTTGCACCCACATAATTAAAACTAAAAAGGTTTTAAAAGGCTCGTGTTTACCAAACCTGACAACCATACATGTGTAGGGCTATCTGCCCAGGTGGCCATGGGATTGAGGCTGTCTAGTCTCCACTGGGGGAGTGAGGGAGTGAGTACCCAGCAGCCCTGGGGCTCCTACTGAAGAGGCTGTGGGCACCTTGGAAGAACCAGCTGAGGACCAGAGCCCTGAAGGATGGTCATAGCATTTCTTCCCAAGTATCCCAGGTGAGAATGCTGCCTCATGAGCTTCCCACTCATGGACAGCCACTGTTGAGCTGTGTCTGCAGTGCCAGCTGAGAACATCGTGTTCCGTGTACAGGTGATCTTCCTGTACGGATGGCCAACTCCAAAGGCACCAACCCCCAGATCAGGGGAAGGCTCTGTCCTGAACTAGCCTCCTGCATGCTCTAGAGGGACATGAAGGTGACATGATATCACCACCGCCAGTGTCCCTCAGAGTATCCCCACTCACACCCAGGGGACGGTGTTTAAACCTGGTTCTAGAGGAGTAATTCCAGCCACAAACAGTCTGCTAACCCATGGAAGGAGACTTCCCCATGAGAATGAAGTCACCGATGTGATGAACTGTCATAGACTTGTCCTAAGTCCCATGCACCAAGACGCCCATAGTCCTGGAACTCAAGGCCTCCCAGCCTCAGAAGGTGCCAGTGAGGCTGGGCCAGGGCCCCTTTGTGTGCAAAGTGATGGGCACACCCACCATGAACAGAGATGCCAAAATCCCACCCCAGGGAGCATCAGCCATGGTGACAGATAGTTGTAAGGGTTCAGACATTCTGCTGGTCTACCCGTCACCTGCAGAATGCACCCAGGCAGTACCCTGGTCAGCCCAGGAGCAAAGGACCCATTTAAAAGAGACCTCCACCCACTCATGCTCTCTCTTTCTCCTCTCTTCCCTGCTGTTCCCCTGGGGCAGACAGGACTTTTCCTGTCTCCCTCTTCTTTTCTGTCCTCTCTGTCTCTGTGTGTCTTTACCTCTGTTCTCTTTCCTTCCCCCTTCCCTCCCCTTTCTAATAAGACTTCTCACTATGCTCTGTCTGCCTGGCATGTTTGTCCCCCACCTCAGTCAACTTCATCTGCCATGGAATCCACCAAGGTCCCCTGTGCGCTTTATCATAACAGTAGTTATGACCTGAAAACAAGGGACGAAACAGAAAAGTTTCCTGAGATGGGAACGAGGAACTGCTGAATATTGAGGGCACACAGTGAGGGAAGATTCCCAGTGTGGAGAACGTCCTTCTCCTCCAGTGAAGACAGTCAGAGAAGACACATCAAAAAAGACATGGGATCAGAAACGGCAGGTTAATGGGCTGGCAGGGGTAGCACACACCTTTAATCCCACACTTGGGACAGGTGGATCTGAGTGCAAGTCTAGCCTGGTTTACAGAGTGAGCTCCAAGATAGCCAGGGATACAAAGAAACCCTGTCTTGAGAGGAAAGAAGGGAGAGAGGGAGAGAGAAAAAGGGAGGGGGAGCAGAGGGGGAGAAGGGGGAGACACGGGAGGGGGGGAGAGATATAGGAACCTAATGGGCAAGTTATGGTGGTGCTTTCCTTTAATCCCAGCACTTGGGAGGCAGAGGCAGGTGGATCCCTGTGAGTCTGAGGCCAGCTTGTTCTACAGAGCGAGTTCCAGGATAGCCAGAACTACATAGTGAGACTCG